ATGGATGGATAATGGATGATGGATGGATGGATGGATGGATGGATGGATGATGGATGGATGGATGGATGGATGATGGATAATGGATGGATGGATAATGGATGGATGATGCATGGATGATGGATGGATAACGGATGATGGATGGATGGATGGATGATGGATGGATGGATGGATGGATGGATGGATGGATGGACAGACTGGTGCACTTAACATCATAGATGGCATCCTGAGCAAAGACAGAGTGTTCATGAGCCAGGAAGTTAAACCAGTGGGTACCAGTGGGTACCAGTGGGTACCAGTGGGTCTTCCAAATGGCCAGCGACTCGAGCGTTCTCCTAAACGAGTTAGAAAGTGGCTTCAGACAACAAAGTCAGTGTTTTAGAGTTGTCATGCCAGCGCCGTGATGTCAGGCCCACAGAAACCTCACCATTGATGGTGTGTGAGAGCAAGGCGCCCTACAGGCCGGACCCAGTTCCACCAGTTCTGTCAGAGGAACTGCACAAAGTTCCAACAAAGTATTGAAGAAGCTTCAGGAAAGAAAACCAAAACATTAGACCAATGTCAAAGCGTCTAAAAGCATCGCTACCAAATACCAAGAACCTGTGAAGAAACTTGTGACTTTCAGTGAAGTAACTGGAAACTGTCACGTTCAGGCTTTGAACAAATAAAACAGTTCTGGACTGTGACTGCTGTGAAACAGGAAATGTTCGTCTCATTGAACGTCAGGCGGTGGAGAAAGATGCTTGTCTTTTCACACAGTGTCTGTAAACATCTGGTTTCACCTCTACGGACAGATTAAACTACAGTAATCTTTTATTTTACACAAGTTCAACACTTCAGTTCAATGCAGGCAAAGGAGGAACTAAAGATGAGGGCAGCCATTGTCATTGTTCAAACTCCTGATTCTCTGCTGATGTATAAAGGTAATGTGGGCTGTAATCTGTCGAGGCCAAGCTGGTTCTCTGTGTCCAGGACACACAACATCTCCACCGTCTGCTCTTTCACAAATGCCCCCTTAAAATCCAAGTGAACGTCATCTCTCAGTTTTACTTCTCTTTTAGTTCCTACATTCAGTCTCTCAGGTTCCTGCTGCGCCCCGTCATCGTCGGCATCATCTCCGCAGCACAAAGCGACTTCATTCTCGTAGCAGAAAGCACTGGGGGAGTGGGAGCCCTGAAGGCGCCTTGTCGCCCTCGGAGCAAACGGCGATGGAGAGCGGGAGCAACTTGAACTAGAGGATGACGATTGGCCCTGTCTCTGGCTCAGTTCCCTGGCACTGCAGTAAGGTGTAGATGGCACTTCGTAAGTCTTATGAAAGCGGGAATAGTCCACATGGTAGCGGTCACCTTTCTCGAACACTACAGGCTCAAAGCGGTGGCCCCAAAGGATCTCCCTTGCCAAGTAGGAGCTACGGGCCTGTGTGGTCATCGCCGTGGCCTCCACCATTCCCTCCAGGATGACCACAATCTCAAAATCCTCCTTCCTTAAGTTACTGCAGCTCAGGTTATAAAGAGGACTGTTTTTGTTGATCTCATGGACGATGACCAGAGGCGACACCAGAAACAGGCGATCCAGTCCGTCGTCATAGCCGATGTCAATGTCTTTCTGCTCTAAAGGGAGGTATTCACCCTCTGCTGTTACATGGGGCCTAATGAGCTGAGCACGCACATGGGCCTCCACAATATGGCTCTTACGCATGTTCCCCAGGCGCCACATGAGGCACAGTTTACCGTCTCGCAAAGCAATGACTGCATTATGTGAGAACAGCAGAGTCTGCGCCCTCTTTTTGGGTCGAACCATCTTTGCCATGATGGTGCCAATCATGAAGGAGTCAATGATGCAGCCGACGATGGACTGCACCACAACTGTCACCACAGCAACTGGACACTCCTCAGTGACGCACCGGAAACCATATCCAATGGTGGTCTGAGTCTCAATGGAGAAGAGGAACGCTCCAATAAAACCCTGGACGTGGAGAATGCATGGTCGCCACTCGTCTTTTCCAGCCTCTGGGAAACCCCTAGAATACCCGTCCTTCAATGGGATGTGCAGCTCAAAGTCTCCATGAGCGAGGGCCACCCCCCAGAAGATCAGACCAAACAGCAGCCATGACAGAAGGAAGGTGGTGGTGAAGATAAGCAGCAGGTAACGCCAGCGTATGTCCACGCAGGTCGTGAAGATGTCAGCCAGGTATCGCCGCGGCTTATCCTCCATGTTGTTAAAAACCACGTTGCACTGGCCGTTCTTCTTCACGAAGCGAGTGCGCAGGTGTCTGCTGCTAAGGTCCAGGTCCAGACGGCACGAAGGCGAAGAACGGCAGCTGCTGTGGATGACGGGCTCATTGGTCAATCTCAAAGGCAACGCCCCTCGACCCTCATCGTTTCCTGGACAGTCTCCTCCACCTCCTCCTTCTTCAGCTCGCATGCAGACCCCCGAGAGTTTCTGCTGAGTCAGGGGGCTGTGGCCGTTGTGGAGGGCCAAGCTGGAGATCTTCAGGACGTCTTCATCAGTGGAAACAATACTGTATCTAAAGAAACAAAACCATTAATGCTTCAGGTTTATAATTAATGTTCAACATATGATAACACAATAAAATTACTAATAAAATCTGTTTGTATTAGAAATAAAAAGAATTAAGACCAACATAATCAAACTGGGTCAAAATGGCCGCGTGCTTTTCTCATGGAAAATGTAAAATCAGTGAGATTCAGCAGAGCCGCTGAACTCATCAGAACGAAACAGTCGAGCTGTCGCCAGACTCGCGTTGAACAGCTAGTTCTGGCTGTCAGCAGCGACCTGCTTGATCCACCATGAGAAGGTGCTGTTTGTAAGACTGTTTGTTGCAGCTCCTCAGACTGAAGAAGTCCTTTGGATAAAAGACGAAACGTTTCAACAAGAAGAATCCGTCCAGGACCTGACTCCACCTGGTCGGATCAAGTTGTTTCTGCAGGTAATGAGCTCCTGCAAGTTCAGAGCAGACACACACCAAGTGCTTCTTCTAATTCTGCAAAGATCCACGATGAGACCAACAGTTACAGTTTCGTCTGATTGTCAGTACAACTGTTATAAAGTCTCCATTAGCTGCAACTGATGTCCAAATTGTTGCTAAAAACGCAGTCGTTGTCTTGTGTTCATCAAACTGGCAGAGTTAAAAACACTAAAGATGAAATCAGCCGTTTCGTCTTCAGATCCTGAGTTGTCTGGAAAAGATTTTACGTGTAAAATCAGCTGAAGTATGAATTCTGCAGAGCCGCTGAACGAGCAGAGTCAAACACGACTTGTTGTCAGTCATCTTTGTGTATTTTGATTCAAATTAATTAAAAGTTTGATTAATGTGAGGTCTGTTTTCTGCGTAGGAAGCCATGGATGTTCAATGGTTAGTGGAGATGAGCAGGAAACAAGACGAAAAACAAACCTCTGTCCGTACCTGTTGACCCGCACTGCACCCATGGCGCCGGTGAGCATCAGGCTGTGTCTGCGGGGGCAGTAATGGAGGTCGGGGCGGTCGGTTCCAACCATTAACGTTCTGGACAGGGAGGCAACACCAGATCAGGCCTGTCTTGCATTAGCACTGAAGCTTGTCTTCTTATTCATTTCCTGTGGCAGAAGAAAACTAACTGGATTGATGTGGAATGATACCAGCGTGTAAATAGCAGCAGCAGCAAGCTGTGGCACTTCTGGTGCAACTTGGGGCACTTCCAAAAGCACTCGCATCATATTTCTGCTCCAATAATGACCTGCAAGAACCATCGCAGATGAGTTCCTGGTTTCAGTTTTCTACACCGCCTTACAATCTAGATGTTTTTTGTTACTTTCCTTTTGGTTGCTAATTTATTTTAACTTGTTAAAATTTTGTATGCATCTTTTCTGATTGTCCATTGTTGTCGTCACTCTTTGTTAAAATCAGGTCTGTCTTGTAAATGAGTCCCCGACGCTCAATGGGACGAACCAAGGTTGAATCAATCAACCTTTATTTCTCCAGGTAAATCCCATTGAGCCTCGAGGACTCATTTACAAGAGAGACCTGATTTCAACAAAGAATGATGACCACAATGGACAACAGCAACAACAATAAACAGTTATAAAAACTCATACTGCAGTTTTTTTTTTTGTTTTTTTTTTTTTTAACAAATAGGATGGCTAAAAGGAAAAGGTAGCAAAACAAAAAACAGCTAGATTCCAAGACAAATGTAGAAACTAACAACAGGAACATGTCTGCATTGGACCCTGCCAGGAGTCCAACAGGTTCTTAAAGACACTTAGAGAGGTCAAAGGTCGAGAGCTTCAAATCTTGAATGAATGATGACGAAACCAAGTTGTTTTAAACTGGAAGCACTTTTCTTTGGTCTTGGCCGTGCTCAAACTACGTGTTCGAACTGAGGTCATTCAAAGAGTTATCTGCAACAGGTAAGACAGTAACTGTTAACTAACCACACATCAAACAAGCTGAACTATCACTTCAGTTCTGTCAGGTTAGGACACTGGGAATAAAGATGAGTTTTCTAATTTAATAATTTATTGAACTAACTCTGAAACGGTTGAATTGATATTTATAAAACTCTATCTCTGTGTAAACTCAACGACAGCCACAGATTTCCTCATCTGTGAATAATTTCTGTTCGCCTGAAGAAAAGTCTAAAGCCACCAACCACAAAGACCACGAGGTTGAAAACAGTGTGAACAGTGTCAGATGCAACACTTTCCTTGAAAAACAATAATAATCATCCAGATTATTTCCATATTAGGAACACTTCAAGGTATCCTGATGCATGCTCAATAATCCAGGTAGAAAAATCTAAAAAGTTAAATCTGGTCCTCTGGACATTCAAAAAAACAAAAACACTTGAAGGCTTAAAGATAAGGACGAGTTCTTCCAAACGTGTCGTGTCCTAACAACAAGACTACAAAATGAATCCACGCTATGAAAGAAGATGAAGGAGATGGTCGTGGACTTCAGAAGGAACACCCCCCCCCCCCCCCCCCGAACATAAGAGGATCTGTGGTGGAAGTGGTCTCCAGCTACAAGTACTTGGGTGTACACATGAACAACAACCTCAGCTGGAGCAACAACACCACCAGCCTGATGAAGAAAGTTCATCAGAGACTCTACTTCCTCAAGCGGCTGAGACGAGCTGGTCTGGAAGCTCAGTCCTCACCTCCTTCTACAGGTGTGCAGTGGAGAGCATCCTGTGCTCCAGCATCAACGTGTGGCATGGAGGCTGCACAGCTGCAGAAAGAAAAGCTTTGCAGAGAGTGGTGAAGGCTGCACAGAAGATGTTGGAGTCAGCCTCCCCACCATCACAGACATCTACACCTCCAGATGCAGGAAGAGGGCCACCTGCATCATGAAGGACCACACTCACCCAGCACACACACTTTTTGCCCCGCTCCCCTCAGGAAGGAGGTTGAGGAGCATTAAGTGTAGAACCACTAGACTGAGGAACAGCTTCTACCCTGAGGCTGTTAGACTCATGAATCTCTAACTAGAATAATCACTGTGAAAAACCATATCATGTTGCTGCTGCTCTGTTTCATGTTGCTGCTGATCTGTTTCATGTTGCTGCTGATCTGTTTCATCAAAGTCCATGCTCAATAATCCAGGTATACAATTCAACAATTTTCAGTCAGGTCATCTGGACATTTTCCTTTTTTGCTGAAACGTTTCACCTTCCATCCAGAAGCCTTCATCAGTCAAGGAAACACAACACAAAACTGATTCTTCCCCAAACAGCAAGTGGAACAATCCAGTTATGTCGTGCTAAGATGGTGCCTTTGGCACGCCCCCTCCTACGTTGCCAACCCTCTTCCTTGTCGACAGTCATGTCAAAGTGGTTCAAAACCAACAAAGTCCATGCTCAGTAATCCAGGTATACAATACCATCTTAGCACCAACATAACTGGTTTGTTCCACTTTGGAGTAAGCTGTTTGGGGGAAGAATCAGTTTTGGATGGAAGGTGAAACATTTCAGCACAAAAAAAAAACCTGTCCAGATGAGCTGACTGAAAATTGTTTGATCTGTTTCATGTTGCTGCCGTTCTGCGTCTTGTTTTTATTGTTTTTACTCTATGAGTGCTTAGTGTATATTTAGTTGATGTTTTTCTTAGTTCATATCTTAGATGTTATTACTGTTTTTATTTTACATTTTATTGTTGGATGTAATTTGGACCCTGTGTTCAGAATTTTGTTCCACCACATGTACCACACGTGATGTGTATGACAATAAAACTCTCTGACTCTGAAAACAAACTTAAGGCTGTTTTTGTGTCTTTGCCAATTCAACATCAAGCTCGTAACTTGTACAAACCTAAAAACATTTAGGTTGGAATTTAAAAAGCACGTGGTTGTGTGCCGCTTCCAGCCAGTACCTTGTTTTTGTAGAGTTGACAGATGGATTGGTGCAGCAGCTGCAGTATTGTGGACTCTGTACTGGTCCGTTGTGGTGAAGAAGGAGCTGAGCTGTAAAACAAAGCTCTGTTTACTGGTCAGTCTACGTTCCTCCCCTCACCTCTGGTCATGGACTCTGGGTAGAGACTGAAAGAATGAGATCGTGGATCCAGGAGGTTGAGACAGGGTGAGAAGTTCAGTTATCAGGAGAGACTTGGAGTAGAACCACTGCTCCTCCACATCCACAGGAGACAGTTGAGGTGGTTCATCTGGTAAGGAGGCTCCCTGGGCACCTCCCTAGGGAGGTGCTTCAGGCATGTCCAACTGGGAGGAGACCCTGGGGAAGACCCCGGACACGCTGGAGAGACTACATCTCTCTGTTGGACTGGGAACACCTTGGAGTCCTCCCAGAAGAGCTGGAAGAGGCTGTGGAGAGAAAGGTCTGGACCTCCCTGCTCAAGATGCTGCCCCGAGACCCGAGTCCAGGACAAGAGGAAGATGATGGATGGATGGATGGATGGATGGATGGATGGATGGATGGATGGATGGATGGATGGATGGATGGATGGATGGATGGATGGATGGATGGATGGATGGATGGATGGATGGATTGATTGATTGATTATTTTGATATCATGTGTCTCTTCAGCCAAGTCATGACAGGTAAATAAGAGTTTTTGGATAAATAAAACAAAAAGAGATGATGTCACAGCAGCAGCAGCTCTCAGTCAGTGTCCAACCTGCTCCAGATGCTGACAGATGTTGCATCTGTGAATCAGGAGCAGATGTTTCTCCAGATGCTGACAGATGTTGCATCTGTGAATCAGGAGCAGATGTTTCTCCAGATGCTGACAGATTTTGCATCTGTGAATCAGGAGCAGATGTTTCTCCAGATGCTGACAGATGTTGCATCTGTGCATCAGGAGCAGATGTTTCTCCAGAACCTGACAGATGTTGCATCTGTGCATCAGGAGCAGATGTTTCTCCAGATCCTGACAGATGTTACATCTGTGCATCAGGAGCAGATGTTTCTCCAGATGCTTCTCCAGATGCTGACAGATGTTGCATCTGTGCATCAGGAGCAGATGATTCTCCAGATGCTGACAGATGTTGCATCTGTGCATCAGGAGCAGATGCTTCTCCAGATGCTGACAGATGTTGCATCTGTGCATCAGGAGCAGATG